TGCATGTGTGTTAAGGATGTATATGTATACTGTATTGTCCGATTGACGTTTAATGGTGTTGATTGATATGTATTTGTTTATTGAGCGTGGCTAGCTCCGCTAGCTTCTCTACACAGACAAGTGTGCAGAAAAACTGCACAATGTAGTGACAGGCGCTGATAGCTTGTTGTACTTGCAAAGTAATGGCAGTATTTTACACACCTGAATTACAAACAGAAATTGCATTGGGGCTGCGGTCATTATTGGTTTGAGAGTTCTGTTATCAAGAAAAAATGATCGGAAGAATTGCATTCAAGTCAATGGAGTGCTGCTGCTGTGAGGAGCTGTATAATAAATTATAATTAAATATTAGAATATATTCTAATGTTTAAATTAATACATCCGGACGCGAAACTAATGGTATTCTTTTACTTATATATTGATTTAGCAGTGCGTTGCTTTACCCCCGACTCCACCGGGCGCGTCTCCGTTGACGCGCGTTGGCTGCTGTCCGTCAGCCGTCCGTAAAACGGACCAGTGGTCAAACCGGCTGCAGCAGCATGCAACTCTGGCTGTGCGTTTATCAGCCTGCTTTATTTTTGTAGGAGACATGTTTGGGCATTGTGTGAATGAATGAATGTTTGGCTGATGGAGGAGTTATGTATTGTCGGCGTGCATGTGTGCGTGAGCGTGTGCGTGAGAGCGCCCGTGTGTGTGTGTGTGTGGTGGGAGGCGTGTGCGTGCATGTGTGTTTGGGTCTGTGACTGCAGCGTTTATTATGATCCAGCCTCTTCGTTTGTTTTCTACTTATTTAGCGCATGATACACTTTTATCGGAGCCAACTCGCCTCTCTGCGGCTTTAGGCAACAGGCAGTTGCTATAGTTTTAAATAGAAGAAGCGGTGTGTGATGTGCATGAGCTGTGGCTATGATCAGTGCAAAGCACAGCATATTGAAGCATTGAGGACGTCGCGATGGATGAGGCAAAACTTATTGAAAGCAATTGGAAAAAGGGGAGAGAGAAAAGAACTCCAACATATCCAGTGTTGTGAGATCTGTCTCTCATAAGTGCAGCTCTGTGTGTGTGTGTCTGTCTGTCTGTCTGTGCGTCTGTCTGTCTGTCTGTCTGTCTGGGAGCGCGCGGCGGTGAGGAGAGAGCGCCTCGGAGGTAGACGGGACAGAGCGAGGTGTATGTAAAGATTAGCGTATTAACATTACGCGAAAAATAAATGGTAGATTTGCGATCAGGAAACAATTATTTAAATGAATACATGAAAAACATTACACACGTTTGTTAATAATCATTGTCATTAACAAATACTTATAACCAAGGACTACAGCATATCAATACATGTTTAACAATGTTATTCCATTGCATTTTCAATGGAAAACGGACCCGACACGCGTCGACGGACGGAACAAATAGGATTGTTTCTATTTCGTCCGTCCACGTCTTTTGCACCCTCCGTTGACGGAATAGGTCCGACGTACGTTGGACGGACGCATGCGGAGGCAGTGGAGCCACTTCCATTCACTCTCATGGAGATAACGGAGACGGAGATGAAACGGACATGTTTGGACGGATCCGTCGTCCGTTTTACGCGCCCGGTGGAGTCGGGGCCTTAGTGCCATTTCATCAGTGATTGTTGCACAGCTTACAAGTTGCGCTAATGCTAATGTTAGCATAGTATCAGATCGCAAATAAAACTAGGTGGCTCTGTGTTATGAGAGCGTAGGGGAAATGAGAAGCATGTGAGCGAGTTGGGGGGCGGTGCTAAACATTCAAACATTGTAGAAACGGGTATAGCGCCTTTAAAAAATAGACTGATTTTGTGTTTCGTTGTCATTAAAATGCCTGCATAATACATGAATGTAAACTGTTTTTTTTTTTTTTTTTTTTTTATAAACCAAGTCATCCTATCCTAATTTCATGATAAACATTAGGAGTAATTGTAGATTTGCTTTGGATTTGCCTTTTACACCTTTGTCACAGTTGGTTCTTCAGCGGCATCTGAACTTTGGATCTGCTTGTTCTGGTTCATGGCCTCGACTTCAGCCACTCCTTTTCTCTCTCTCCACGTCCGCACTAATCTGTCGTCCGCACAATAGTTCAAGGGGAAGTGGGATTATCTGCACTTATGCATTGCGATAAGCACTTTGAATTCTGACATATTTGTCTATATTTACAACACTGTACTGTATGTAGACTGGGACGTGCTGCCGCTGCATGTGTTACTTTTGTGTGTAATTTAGGGGATGCATCAATGCATCAATGTATTCGCGATAATAGCAAGTTTAAATATTCATATAGCATTTTTTTTAATAATAAAATGCATTATCATGTGCTACCTCAAATACGCGCAACCTCCCGATGCCATATCCTAGGTAAAGCAAAACACAAGAAGATGGGCCCTTTGAAAATTGTGCAACGGAAATTAGGTCTGACATTCACTTTCACACCTTTATCTTGTCATACCTCTCGTGTCTTTGGAGTCGGTGGATGCTCGTGCTTCTTGCAGAAAACCTTTCCTGAAACTGCTGCAGAAATAATCATTGCAGCGTAGTAATGTAATTCTGATCAGCATTGTGTCTAGGGATGCACCGATCCGATACTGGTATCGATATCGGCGCCGATACCAGAAAAAATACTGGATCGGATATCTGCGTAGAGGCGCTGTGCTGCCGATCCATTTTATTTTCTTTTTTTTAAATAAATTATATATTTTTTTAATACATACCAGGTACCGCACAATGCATTACATTGTGCATAATGTACATATACGTATAAAATGAATTAAGTAAAAGTAATTTATCAGATCTGACGTACACGTCACTTCCTCGTGGCGCTCTACAACAACACAGCATGGAGCGTAGGAAAGAATCAGCGTTGTTCACGCGGCGGTAAACTAGCGAAATACAACACGACTAAGCACCACGAGAAACAGCACGGGGAGTTTTTGCATCGAAAGGAGATTACTTGAAAACAACCAGACACTGACGCAGCGTCACAAAAAGCTTTTCGGCAACAACCCGAAAGTGTTGGAGTTCATCATGGGCTCGCAGCCCCATAGACCATTTGGAACCCAGGTACATGCCGTCGCCAAATACATATCTGAAATCCAGTTAAAGCTACGGTACTATTATTTATTTACATTTTCATGCAGCGTGTTTTGTTTGTTGTGTTTTTTTATTCAAACACAGTTGATATAAGTACATTTATATTCAATAAATGTATAAGGTATAATACAGTGTTGTAATGTTTAATGTGAACATTGAGCAGCTCTTTACAGTTGCATTATTGCACATTTATATTGAATCCATTTTTATCTGGAAAGTTTAGCGCTTTAGTTCATCCACTGCTTTTGCAGTTACTTGAACAAAGACTTCAATTATTAAATACATTTTAGCATGATCATTTCTGGTATCGGTCAATATCGGTATCGGCAGATACCCATAGTTCCGGTATCGGTAGTAAAAAAGCTGGATCGGTGCATCTCTAATTGTGTCATATAGAGTGAGAGTATAATATGTAACTTATATACATTGTGAAACTGGTCAAATAAAACAAGAGTAAGTTATAAAATGGACAGATGACCACAACGTTGCTTTGTCTTATTCATTAGCAATATTTCTGACCATTATTGCGATTGTGAAACATTTGATTAACAAATATTTAGATATTATTTGTATATATAAAATATACTCACCGCATCCAATACATCCTATTCCTCACATTCAAAGCCATCCACAATCTCACTCCTCCATACCTGACTGACCTCCTCCAGATCTCCGCACCTGCCCGCACCCTCCACTCGTCCTCTTTCCGGCTGCTGGTCCCTCTGGAACACTCTCCTCTCTGACCATCGTCACACCGACTCACTAACACTCTTCAAATCCACCCTCAAAACTCATCCGTTTGCACAAGCCTGTCCACTATCACCATAACCACACCCTCCTCTGTCCACCATGCTTTTAACTTGGTATTTGAACTGCATTTGAACCATAGACTAAATATTAAAGGACGTCGCCCTTCTCCACCGTTGAAACTAATGTTCCATCATTTTTGGCTTCCATGGGGCTTTTTCAAAATGGCCGCGGGTGTTACACCACTCTGACAACCTGATGTGGAAAAATTATCTCTTTAATGTCTCAGGAGAAAACAACGAGAAAAACAGGACAAACAGACTTCAGTCCTTCAGTTCCACGCTTTCTCAAAAAAAAGTTCACTGTTATATACCAGGGGCCGCACGCGCTCCCTGATATATTTGAACACATTACCGTTACATTACCTTGTGTATTTAAAACAATGACAATTGTATCTGCGATTATTAAAGAAAAATGTAAACACTTATTCTAAGTTCTACATGGGCAGCCCCTCCCGCAGGGAAATGTGAAAAAATGCATTTGCGCATGCAGTAACCGGTACCAGCCCCATTCATTTAACGAGTGCACTCAAAAGTCCAGAGGATAAACTAGACTGGTTAAAAAAAATATACTCCCCTCAGCTTTGACACACACCTGGAACGTAGTTTTGGGTCGTAGCGTTTTAAAATGCACTTTTTTACTTGTATGTAAGGTGACCTTGAGTGTCAAACAGTCCTAAAATGTTTTTTTAAAATTATTATTATATAATCTCCTGCATGTTTATAATGTTTCTATGTGTAGCTTTTTAAAATATAACACTAGGAAAGTGATTACCCTATTACACATTTCCCACACATTTCAGAAATTTTAAAGGTGTCTCATCTGGTATGAGAAAAGGCAAAAAATTCCATTGACAAATCTTGAATTTAGAAAAATGTATCAATTGAAAAATTAAAGTGTCGTTTTTTGTGCTTTTGTTGTTGGTAAAGAACTTTAATAAATGCAGTCTTTGCAATATGCTTACAGCGATTTTTGATCAGATCATGAAGCTCTAACATTCATACTTCATTCAAAACTATGTCCATCTCTTCAGGTAACCTCCAACTGCGTGCATGACATGTCTGCAGCCCTAACTCTGGTCCCCTTCTGTCCCTGCAGGTCGGCGACATGGTGAAGGTGACCAAAATCAACGTGAACGGCCAGTGGGAGGGCGAGTGCAAAGGCAAGCGCGGCCACTTCCCCTTCACGCACGTTAAACTGCTGGACCAGCACAACCCCGAGGAGGAGCTGAGCTGAGAGCGGTCCGCCCCCTCCGTTTACGGGACACTAGTGTTAGACCTGCTCCCCCATATCCTCATCTACCACACTGCCCCAGTCATTTTAACACATCTATCACTGAGAACTGCAACCACACCTCCTCATGTGCACCCTAACAATACTATCCAACAGTGAACTCGCGCAGAACTAAATCTTGTTGCTGGATATGTGTCGTCTTGGATATTGTGTCTTGGAGAGCCTTTGTTGGGAGAGTTTTACCCACTTCCAACCAGTAGATGGAGTCTGTTTGTGTCTAACTAGCACACACACCATGCTGCGTCCTTGTTCAATACTCCACGCGTAAGAACGGACTTTTCTCCAGAATTTGGCCCAGTTCTGGTGCTTGGCTGGAGAAGTCGTCTCTCTTGAAGGGCATTGAGGGAAGGGTCAGATCCAGAACTTAACAAACATGGACTAATAATCTTCTAACTTTCCCAACCAAATTCTTTTAGAGCGTAGAATGATGCTGTATTGGCCAGTTTAGATGTCACACAATAACGCATTTTGAAGCACAATGTATTGCTACTGAGAAATGTTTAAATAACAAAACTCTTAAAAATGAGTTGCAGTGATTGAATACTTCATAAGAAACGCAAATTATCCATAGAAGCCGCTTCTTTTAACTTTCTAGTGCTAAAAACCTTATATATTGACCCTTTAAGGCACCAGAGTTTTACATAAATTCAATGTGGAGCCCTGAAACTTTAATAGCCCCATGTCTGGTATAAATTCAAGTACAAAAGATCAAGGCAAAAGTTTATGGGGAGCCAGTTTGCTGTATAGAAAGTGTCCTGGGTTCAGGAGCTGGAGGAGCGATTCTGCGCGCCTATAGGGTTTTAAGAAATTACAACCATCTATCCACAATTGTTCATAGTAATACATATAAATATTGAGCCCCACATATATTCTTCCAGCTGTCTTCTATTGAAAAAGCTAGTGTTTATACATAGATATTACCTAAAGGAATGACCACAAAGCTTTATTTACTACTACTTCCAAATTAAAATGTAAACCTTGAGTAAGAAGGAAAAAAAATTACATGGTGCCTTCTGTCTTAAATGAGCTTGCAAGTTTTCCTTATTGGACATGAATGCAGCATTGTACATGAAATCCCAAGAGTTCTTTGACCGTGCTCACTGGGTAAAAAGAAAAAGGAGCAGTTGAAGACGTTTTCTACCGTGGACTGTTTATCCTCATCCTTTCCCAAACTTTAAAAATGGATGAAAGTCGACCGGCATGGTGAAAGCTTGACGTTCGTGATGGCGGACAGGACTCCTAGCTGTGGAGAACTTAAAACACTAATAAATAGCCGGACAACACCTGCCTTACCTTACCTGCCTCGCTCTCCCATCCCCATCACTTCAGATCACCAAATAGTCTTTTTTTTTGTATGAAAAAAAATGAACATATTGTTATGAAAGATGTATTGATGATCATTACATGCTAAAAGGTTTTGTTATTCTTGTAGCTTTTTTTTTTCTTTTCTTTTTTCATGATGGGTGCGGAATCAGTGTGCAGTTGAAATACTGCTGCATGTGAACACAAAGAGGGAGTGACTTGTTTTTGGGAGTGGATCAAATCACTCTGACACTTCCCCTTTAAAAAGAAAAATGAAAAAAACTACTATGGCAGGGGTGTTTAAGAAATTACTGATCAAATTGCAGAATTCTGTCTTCTATTGTGGCCCCAGTTCTGCACCTGATGGACTCGAATGAAGTTGCACAGAGTGAATGTAGGCTGCCCACTGCTTTTCATAGTGCCGTCTTTACCATTACAGTGCTTACATTTGTGAACTTGCTCTTGTGGCTTCATCAAGTGTCTGGGGAATATTGTGCTATCCACATTTTAACCTTTTTGTTTCTTTCTTTTAAAATATCTGTTTCCTTGCCATTTTCTTTTTTACTTTAAGCGCTGCCTGTTTTATTTAAAGTCTAGTCCATTTCAAAATCTTATCGTTTTGTGCTTTGCTAGTTCTGTCAACCCACCCCTGAAATGTTATATTTTGACCTTTTGACAGTTTTGATTACTTTTATTTGTTTACTCCTGACAATCATCACCTTGTGCAACATTTTGTGTAGTTTTTTTTAAATTTCAAAATTGAACAAAATTGGTTGATTTTAAGACCTGGAAAGGCTGTGTGTCCAATTTAAGACCACTAGATGGCGTCCATAGACAAGTTCAAAGACGTGATGACATGCTATCTATGCTTAATCACTATGCACTTACAGCCTTTTAGACAATAAGTGCTCAGAATTCTTTGTGCTTTTGAGCTTTAAAGGTAAACTTAATGCCAATCAATGGGCTAAAACTGACTTTTCTGGTCTTTTCAAAGTATTACCTTGAGTTACTTTTAGGATCATAATAAAATATTTGGGTTTACCGCTTCTGTTGTATGTCGTAATCCAGCTGTGTCACATTTCAAGTGCTTAAAAAAAAAAACTTCTGACTGCGTTGCCAATGAAATCTCCAGGAAGTATTCTGTTGCCCTGCATGATGTCATCCTTCAGTCACATAAAGGTGTGGCAAAATGTCAGAGGAAATTGTGTTAATATTCCTACCGTGCCATTTTATTATAACACTATATTCTTTCAAGATATTTGAATTACTTTTTTTTTATTTCCTGTAGCATGTAAGGTGTTAAAATACTAGTAAATAAAGTAAATCCAAGTAAAACAATTGTGCGTTTGTTTAATGTATTGGTCGCTGTGGTTTATAGCATTATTATGGACATGTAAAACTGACAAAAAAATTACAATAAAATAGACATTTCCTCTATACATAAAATTGTGTTTGTGTAATAGGGTGAAGCACTAATTTCTCCTAAAGAAATGAAAATCACACTGGCTACTGTTTAATTTATGAAATGTTTTTGTATTTTAAGTGCACAATATGTAAAATCGTATTATTGCATGACGTGAACGCTTTAAAACAACATAATAGCCATCTGTCATTAATTAGGTTAAAAAATTCCTTGATAGTGGCAATGCAGTCAGTATGCAGAATCTATGCAGCACAAAACGTGGTGCAAAAAGTGTCCAGCTCTGACACGTTGCTTCATAAAGGGGTTTGTCATGTCGTGAATGTGTGAACTCGGTGTTGCTTCTCATTTTAAAGCTGTTATATTTTACAAATGTTGGAAATGCTGATGCCTCACGCCTCCTGGATGTCCGCCATCTTTGCTTTGCCGGTGATGGGGCGGAACCCGAAGTTGCCAAGTCCGCGTTTTTATAGCGACTCCGGGCGTCTATTTTTAGAAGGTTGCACATTAGTAGAGGTTGCAGTGTGAGGCTTGTGCTTTCATGTCATAAAATAAGCTATTTGTACCATTTTTGTTTCATTTTAAATGTTTTTTTCTTAAGTAGTCACGTTTCCCTGGAAAATTAGTTTTACTGGTTAAGTATAGGTTAAATAAAAACTGAAGTATAGTTGCTCACAGTATCTGCACCTTAAACCTGAGCATTTATTTTCTGACCACATTGTCTTGTACTTCATATTTCTCATATCTTCACTTTCTACTTAAAACTAATATATCCAGTCTATGCTTTAACACCTTTGTAAAAGCCTCATGACTGCTGCAAACTACAGTTTGTAGTCCACAAGTGTACTTATCCTTGTCCCATGTACAATTATACCTCCAGAGTGTATTATCTTATTTCATTATCCATTATCTTGATGTGGGCATAACTTCCATTTTTTCTGCTGTAATGTGCGGGAAAGTGACATTTTCCCACTGAGGGATGCACAAAGGTACAACTTATATTTGCAGATAACAACATAAGTGACAGGCAGAACATAAAGCGTCTAATTCATTGACCAATTATTGCCCTTTTATTCACTGGGGAAGTGATTAGCCCTGCTTCTAAGTTGGTTAATACATGTTAATCATGCTTCTAAGTTTACTATACAGGTTTGAAGCTGCATTCTGATAAATGCATTTAATTAATTAAAGTATTTTTTAAATAACAATACTGGTGGCACAACACAAATTACCTTCTTAAATTATGTGTTTTTTATTTTATTTCCAAGGGCTTGCTTACTATGTTTCTCATATGTATGAAGCTATAATAGAAACAGTCTTCCTGAAAATGTGAGACAAGCTACTCTGAAAATGTTCAAATACAGGTAAAAAAATATATTTTAAGATTAAGATGAATATAATTAAATCGTTCCACAGTGAGGAAATTTCAGTTATGGAAGAGTAAGAATTCACAGCACAAGATAAGTGTAACTTATTTTATGTATACTGTATAAAATAAAATCTCTAACTTCAGCATAGTAAAGAATCAGGTAGATATTTCAAATACATTATTTAAGTGTCCTGTGACTATATTTGCTTTGACTTGCTTTATAAAGTTAACGTTTCTCTTTTTGTTTTGTACAGCACTTTGAGTTACCGTGTGTAGGATGTGCTATTCAAATAAACTCGCATAATCTTCCCTATAGCCTTGCCTTGCCTTTCTCTCTGGTTATCTGGCAACCTGGCCGGACCACTCACTCAGCAGCGAAGCACGGACCTCTCACTCCCCCGCTCATACACATAATTTCACTTTAGGTAGTTCTCTGCTCCTTTTCCCATCTCAGCAACAATGACGGACCGGGAAGACTTCATTTACCGGGCTAAGCTGGCCGAGCAGGCGGAACGATATGACGGTAAGATTTAGAAATATGACTGGGACGTGTTCACCGCTGGGATTCTCTAGTTAGCTTCATGATGCTAACGGAGCTAACTGGGCTGCTTGCTCATAGCTGCAGCGGCTAATCTGGCATCTGTTCGCACTGTTCCCATCTTTTATTCTCGCTGACATAACTGGGTAGTATTCGCATGGGGGGCGTTTGAACATGCCAGAGCTGTAAATCAGTGATGAAATGTTGAAATAATTGGATAAAACTGGTGACAGTAAGCTGTGTTAGCGAAAGTGCTAAAACAAAATGGCGGATCATAGGAGCGCGATCTTTCCCATAGATCTGTCTCTCGTGTGATCTTTTACCGAACATTTCAGGGGCTGGTTCGAATCTAAATGTACTGCATAGACGTTGACATAATTATCTAGTCGTATTAATTATTTTTTCGATTGAATGTTAGAGCAATTCCCCTAAAAATGTGCTGACTTGTAAGCTTGTGACTAGGCTGTAGTATCCTCGCAGTGGGCATGGCCGTTCTCAAAGAGGCCAAATAGGTCCCATTATTGTATGTATGCTAACTTCCTGAACTATTACACGGATCCAGGATCAAATAGATGCCACTATCGGAAATCGGCTGTTAAACCTAGGTCTGAAAATCTATGTAATTTCGCATCAAAAACAGTGATTTCAATCGAACTAATCAGCACTATCACTGTGGTCAGAACTCGATCCATTCCAAAGACCTTCCATTATCTTCATTTGTGTCTGATCATCCCCATGACTGTGTGGTTGTAATGTTAAATCATCAATTCAAAGCTTTTCTGTCTTTGAGCTTACATTTGTAGGTTTATGCTAACTGCCAATGGAGCACGTGTGTATTTAAGTGATAGTCAATAAATTCCAGCTTGTTTAGTAGACTTCTGATATCTTTTGTTGTAATGGAAGTCTACTTGCAATAATGCTAACATGTAGTAGTGTGCTGTTCAGTCCCTGTGGCCAGATCGATTGGCCTCTCCCTGTAGCTCCCGGTAGATCTCTGTTGTTGGCTGTCATACCACCGCAATTCGGGAACAGGCTGTTTTTAGCCGTCGTCACTGTTCAAACGTTGCCCAGTAACGTAATGTGAATGGACTATGAGTCATTCACGGGATTTGTCCGAGTTTATTTAGTTACTGAGTGATTTACGGTCTCACAGGCTCAACAGTAGCACTACTGGAATGTGGTGGAGTTCACTAGGTTGGGTCCAAACCTCGGTTTGTTGGATGTGGTTGGTTTGGATTATTTTTGAAACGGATAACCCGAGGGTCTTAAACTGTATTGCATTTCATTTGGCCAATTTTAAGATATATTTTAAAACTAAATCTAAATATTTATACAACAAGATAATTACATTTGGGAGACTATTACATTTTCATCAATAGCTAGCCTGTTTGAAGCAGCATTGTGTCCCTACATATCATTATGTAACCAGTGTCTTGCATGTTACACCCACGGTTCAAATCCTGCTTCAATGTTAAACATTATTCAACTTCTGATACTTATGTTATTTGTTTTACAGACCAGGGTCATGCGAAGCATTTTACATAATGGTGTATTTTCCATTCACTCCACACACAGTGATGACCGAATTGGCCTCTTCATAGGAATTGAACCACCAAGCTGTGGGACAATTTCTAAATAGTTTTCAAAAAATTGGCAAAATACAGTATAAAGTTGGCAAATGCCACAATTTGACTTAGAATGGATCAACTCGCTAGTTTACTCAGTGGGGCTACAATTTGATTTAATTTGGTTGTACCTGACTCTCCTGTTGTAGAATAAAGTTACAAATGTGTTAACTTATGTCTTTTTGGAGATGTGTCTCCTCTTTCAGACAAAAAACTATTTAGGAATCCCTAAAGCATCTTCATTACTGTAATACAGACAGACACAGTTTGAATAATATTTATTGGTGGTGATTAATTCGTTATTTTCTTTCAGTTCTACTTGGTTTAGTCTTGATCTTGTTCATATGTTGGTCCCAATGTTGAGGTTCTTATCAAAGTACTGTAAAGCTATTGATTTTAAATGGTGCTTCTCCATCTAATCTAATTGGTACAATTGAATTCTCTTAACTAGAGCTGATCCAATAAAGCACAAATAGCTATTCGCACTTTGGAGTGTATCAGCCTTCAATCTCCAATGTAGATCATTTATATTTTGTTTGGGATCACCACCTTGATACTTTATTGATCCCCAGTAGGAGAAAATCAGGTGTCCAGTTGCAGCAAAAATGAAAAATAGTTTAACATTTTGGAGCAAAATACTATTCCGCTTTCTTGGAAATAAGTAGTAAAACAGCTGTGGATGTGAAGGGATGGGCTTGATTACATGATTTTATTCATTTAATGTGTTTTAAATAATATACGTCATTATATACAAAATAACATATAGTTCAAGCTCCATTTTATTGTATAACTGTTCAGGGCGAGCTTTTGGCAGTGGTTATTTGACAGAACCATTTTATGATAACCCATACTTATCTCGGATGACGATGACTTAACATTTCAAATGTATTGGGTGGAAGATTAAAGTAATGATCAATAAGAAATAACAAGTGTAACTGAAGAGCTGATGGTCGTGTCCCTTTGCAGAGATGGTGGATTCTATGAAGAAGGTGGCGGGCATGGACGTGGATCTCACGGTGGAGGAGAGGAACCTACTGTCCGTCGCCTACAAGAACGTGATAGGAGCACGGAGAGCTTCATGGAGGATAATCAGCAGCATCGAGCAGCGAGATGAGGGAAAAACCACGGAGGGCAGGATGAAGCTGATCAAGGACTACAGGCTAAAGGTAACATCAGCCTGTTTTTTACCTGGGAGAGTGGTGTTTCAGGTGTAAGTAAGTAATGTTTATTTATATAGCGCATTTTACAGACCAAGGTCACCCAAAGCGCTTTACAATGTTCAGAGTTCAGATATTGTACCATTCATTCCACACACGGTGATGACGGAAGTGAGTCGCCGAACACACTGGCCCATCAGCCTCCAATCAACACCATCCATTCACTCTCTCATTTACATTCATATCTATGAAAAGGTGTAGGGGAAAAGAGTTGATATGAAAAGATTAGTAGTACTAGTAGTAGTCATTTTTTTCACATTCATTTTTATTAAAGACGACAAATCAAACTCTTTAACATTCAACAAGAACACAACACAAATCAAGAAAACAATTGCACAACCAAAAATATGACAAGGGGGCAAATATATGTAGACTTTTTGCTTTATCATTAAACAGAAACTATATATTACATTTGCTAATAGAACGATTAAAACCCATATGGATGTTGTTATTAATCATTTATACGATTGCATGAAAATGCGATTTACTTCTACATTTCGTGTTTTTGAATATGAATACGTTTTCTGAGTTGAAAAATATAATAAACTTTATAAGTTGAGAATTGTAGGCTACAATTTACTACTATTACCAGAGGGGAATTGAGTTTATTTTTGTTTTCAACGTCAAACATAGGGATGTAAAAAACTATGAATTTTCATGACCGACCACCGAGCCTCATTAACCGGTTGAAACCGGTTAACCGCGTAGTTTAAAATAGTCCACGTTCTTTGAAATAACCATAATAGCCATTTCGAGCCGCGTACTTTTCATAAGTGCAGCTCTGCGTTCTACTGGATCAGAGCCGAGACAGCGGCGCCCGAACCCGCAACAGCTCCGGCACCTTTGCGCACAGAGAACTGCTTTTTTAATCTTCCCATTCTGCTGTGCTGCGGGTTAATACCAAAACTTTCTAGCAGCAAACGACGGCTCGTTCACATGGTCAGAGCAGCGAGTGACGAGCCGCGTCTCACAGGTCTTCACAAAAGTTTAAATACAAGTGATGTGTGTGGAGCTGATCCCGAGGACCATAAACACAAACATGTCCCATGTGGTTTGACTGGAGCCGCGTATTTGCGCGAATCCTTTGGGCTCCGTGACACAGAGGAGCGCGACAGACCGGTATGTGTGTGTGTATGTATGTGTGTGTGTGTATGTATATGTGTGTGTGTGTAAATGTAAGCTCCAATGTAGTTCTGACCCGCGCCAGTGTGCAACTTTGACTGTAACAGAGGGGAGAGATGATGCGTGTGGATGTTACGTATGGAGAGGGGGAAAGTGTGTGCATATGTGGCGCGTGCGGCGTGAGAGTCGTCCCGGAGTTTATAATACATGGGCGCACACGGCTAGATACAGACCCGCTCGTCACACCGTGCAAATAGGGCTTAAAATAGCGTTATTAAGAGACCTCCCCTCTCCCCTTTTTCTCTTTTTTAACCGACAGCTTTGACCGGTTAACGCTGTGACGGTCAACCACCGGTTAAAGTGGTTCTCACCCCCGCTCCTCGGAGCTTACGTCACACACATTTCCTGTTCAAATCTTCCTCTAAATGGGCGTAGCCTGGAGGACTGAAGGGGGCGTGAACGAGACTGGGCCGTTTATATCGCTCTTGGCGGGGGGCTGCTGACGTCAGGTCCAACTTGCAGACGTCAGGTCCAACTTCTGTGCCAGTGTTGGCGCCAGATTCAAAATTCAAATGTAGTAATACAGGTAGCCAGCAGATGGCGCCTCACAGACGGTTTTAGGCAGAAAGTTTAACTTTCAACTAATTTGCACCAAAGTGAAAAAACTATGACCAGGATATGTAGACAACACTATTGGACACTCATTTATACCGTTTATCAGCAAAAAAAAGTGGATATTAGGGTGAGTTGTCCTTTAAACGGTCGCCGATTTACATCCCTAGTCAAACATTCTGAACAAGCCATGTGATTTATAAAGATTTTGTAATTTCACCTGATAAACTAATTTGAGGATTTATTGTTGCCTTTAGACATAAGGTACATGTTTTGTGGTTGAATAATAATGATTAACCTTGTGAAATTGAGGCAGATTTTACACGGAGACAATGTGGAAGTAAAACGGTATAGTTGGATGTCGGTTTCTACCAAGCGTTCATACGAAGACTGTGTTCCAGGGGGGTGAAAACGTAAGTGTTCAGATCCAGCCTGCAGAGTGGGACAGCTCAGATACGCTGCACAGCGGGGGCTCTTTCACACCCGTGAGAGGGAAAAGGTGTGAAATCCCCCTCTGCTCTGACCCCCACCACCGCGCTGCTCCCCGCACGTAAATTTGGACATGCGCAGTAGCGGAGAACAAACATAAACAACAATGGTGCCGCGCGCACTAACTAGCTTCGTGGGCTTCCAGCGCTGCACAGAGGATAATTCTACTCCTTCGTTCGTCCAAACGAGACCAAGCGAAACTCTAGGTTCTGTTTCCATTTTTACAGCTGCTGTTAAAATGCAGAATAATGTTGGTACTTTCTGAAGGTCTGGCACAGGAAGTGAGTACACTGCCGAGAGGGGGGCTGGGCACGGGGCTGGGGGTCGTGTGAGTGTGTAAAGTTTCTCTGCCCACTACTGGCCGGGCGCTAGAACTACATCGTTTTTCAACCTCATGTGAACGCTGAGAAATTTGCATTAGGAGCCAGGTCGTTTCTGTTAGTAGCCTGGAAACGTCTGCGCAGCTTCTCAGTATAAACAGGGCCTGAGATGTGTGCTGGAGGAGATTGACAACTTAGTACATTTTAAAGGGGATTTTTTTCACTATTATTTTTACAAAAAATATTTAACTTCTGTGGCTCAGTATGTTGCAGCTTCAGTTAGTGGCATAACTATTAGCATTACTATGATTTATATTGTATTATGAATTTCACTTGTTTCTGATGTTCGATTTTTATAGAAGTTAAGGGTTTTGTGATTTTTAGCAGAGAATCCTCATCACTGTAATCTCTTTTGCCAGGACGCAACGCTTTGACCCCTTTTTTTTTTTTTTGTCAATGAATCAATTCAGAGGGCATGTCTTCGGAGCCCTACTGCCACAATGGACCATGAACAATACTGTAGATTTGCCTCAGCTCTTGGAATACATAACTTGGGTTTTCTTTTGTAATAGACACATTTTCCTTCATTGGGATTGGGTGTAGTAAATTAAAAATGACTCATAGTAAACATTTGTTGGGAAGCTTTCGGCCTTTGTTGAAATAATCATCTCCGCTGCTGGGCCAACTGTGAGTGAGTCATCTCTGGCAGCTTGCCGCGTCCTTCTGAAGCTTCTGCAGTGAGAGCTGGACCGTCGTCAAAGACCTAAAAGGCTCAAAATTAATAATGACTCTGCTTGGTTTTCTGTTATTTAAAGCTTTTCTCAAAATAAATATCTCCTGCACTGGGCTGGGACAATCTCATTACACCAATATGGCTATAATAACATTTAGGTCAGTATACTTACATTTAGACTGATTTCAGACCCCTCAAATTGTGATTTATTGTGGCTAACAAATCCTATGAAGAAATGTTGCTATTTACTATGCTCAAATTCCAGTAAACAATCTTTTTATTTTAGTTGATCATGAAGCTGCATGGCAAGCTCTCTCATTGTGTAAACTTCTTATGAAACACTGCTATTTGCATATATACACGTCATGCTCCACCCACTGCTCCAAACAAGCAGAATGCAGCAGTGGCACACGACAATCACATACTGTATATCGCTAGGCCTGTCGCGATATTCAATAAATCAATTAATTGCATGATAATTAAAATTCGCTCGATAGTTTTCCTGGCCGCAATGAATTCCATTTGCAGCATGTTTGTTTTCCAGTCTCTCTCCCCCTCAGGTCAGAGAGCCGCAAAGTGGTCACACGAGCAGACTGAAATAACTCAAAAATACAAAATACAACCAAAACGGGACCTAAACCAGGACTTAACCAGGATTGACATTGGACACAGTAGTTGTTCTCATTCAGGCTCTAGTAGTGACTAAACTAGCGCAGTTAGCTAACTAGCGGTTAGCCAACTAGCTAGCTAGCGTGTTTGCCGATGCAACAGTACAGATTAATAATGAAATAAACTTATGACGCACCTCCGTGAACACATACTGCTGTTATATAAAGTCTCTTGAAGGTCTCTGGACAAAGAGACGCTGCAGAGCTGCATTATTGGCAAGAACTTTACACAAAAAGCCGCAAGCATGATGCTAACAGAGTTAGCATCAAGCTAGCGGTCTTCAAAAATAAGTGTATTTCTCTTTGAAAAGGTGTACCTGCATCATTATCATTGTATTAGATGAAAACGACAAGCCTATCGCAATAATTTCTGAGACAATTAATTGTCCAGCAAAGTTTGTAATCGTGACAGGCCTATATATCGCTACAATACCGTGTGTGTGTTTTTCACTACGTTTGGCTTAAATATGGACCCTGCACTGTGTGAAATTTCAATTAAATGAAAAAAAACTAAAGTCTTCCCTTTGGAGTTCTTTCCCTGTTGACTACAGCAATGTGTTTTTCTTTTATTTCACAGGTTGAAAAGGAGCTTCAAAATATCTGTAATGACATTCTCAAAGCTCTGGATGACCACTTAGTGCCATCAGCTAAAGCCGGAGAGTCCAAGGTCTTCTATCAAAAAATGTAAGCTTCATTTGGTCATCAATACAAACATACATGTGCACTAGAGTCTGCATGAAGTGTTTTCTCATAGTTATTGTTTTTATACTCGTGTGCAGTTTGCCCCCCAATTTATGTACAGTTTATTCTGTAGTTAAGGCCTGAGTCCTGGGTCTGTAGCTCGTTGGTCCATGGGAGCATATCCTTCCCTCAATGTGGGCTTCCCGAGGTTCCTCGCTGATGCAGGAAGGCCTAAGGATAGTGTTGTAGATCAGGGACGTTTGAGGACATGTACAGTGCCTTGCGAAAGTATTCGGCCCCCTTGAACCTTTCAACACTTTGCCACATTTCAGTCTTCAAACATAAAGATATAAAATTTAATTTTTTTGTCATGAATCAACAAGTGGGACACAATCGTGAAGTGGAACGAAATTTATTGGATAATTTAAACTTTTTTAACAAATAAAAAACGGAAAAGTGGGGCGTGCAATATTATTCGGCCCCTTTACTTTCAGTGCAGCAAACTCAGTCCAGAAGTTCAGTGAGGATCTTTGAATGATCCAATGTTGTCCTAAATGACTGATGATGATAAATAGAAGGCACCTGTGTGTAATCAAGTCTCCGTATAAATGCACCTGCTCTTTGATAGTCTCAGGGTTCTGTTTAAAGCGCAGAGAGAACCATGAAGACAAAGGAACACACCAGGCAGGTCCGAGATACTGTTGTGGAGAAGTTTAAAGCCGGATTTGGATACAAAAAGATTTCCCAAGCTTTAAACATCTCAAGGAGCACTGTGCAAACAATTATATTGAAATGGAAGGAGTATCAGACCACTGCAAATCTACCAAGACCCGGCCGTCCCTCCAAACTTTCATCTCAAACAAGGAGAAGACTGATCAGAGATGCAGCCAAGAGGCCCATGATCACTCTGGATGAACTGCAGAGAACTACAGCTGAGGTGGGAGAGTCTGTCCATAGGACAACAATCAGTCGTGCACTGCACAAATCTGGCCTTTATGGAAGAGTGGCAAGAAGAAAGCCATTTCTCAAAGATATCCATAAAAAGTCCCGTTTAAAGTTTGCCACAAGCCACCTGGGAGACACACCAAACATGTGGAAGAAGGTGCTCTGGTCAGATGAAACCAAAATCAAACTTTTTGGCCAGAATGCAAAACGATATGTTTGGCGTAAAAGCAACACAGCTCATCACCCTGAACACACCATCCCCACCTCAGCTGTAGTTATCTGCAGTTCATCCAGAGTGATCATGGGCCTCTTGGCTGCATCTCTGATCAGTCTTCTCCTTGTTTGAGATGAAAGTTTGGAGGGACGGCCGGGTCTTGGTAGATTTGCAGTGGTCTGATACTCCTTCCATTTCAATATAATTGTTTGCACAGTGCTCCTTGAGATGTTTAAAGCTTGGGAAATCTTTTTGTATCCAAATCCGGCTTTAAACTTCTCCACAACAGTATCTCGGACCTGCCTGGTGTGTTCCTTTGTCTTCATGGTTCTCTCTGCGCTTTAAACAGAACCCTGAGACTATCAAAGAGCAGGTGCATTTATACGGAGACTTGATTACACACAGGTGCATTCTTTTTATCATCATCAGTCATTTAGGACAACATTGGATCATTCAAAGATCCTCACTGAACTTCTGGACTGAGTTTGCTGCACTGAAAGTAAAGGGGCCGAATAATATTGCACGCCCCACTTTTCAGTTTTTTATTTGTTAAAAAAGTTTAAATTATCCAACAAATTTCATTCCACTTCATGATTGTGTCCCACTTGTTGTTGCTTCATGACAAAAAAATAAAATTTTATATCTTTATGTTTGAAGCCTGAAATATGGCGAAATGTTGAAAGGTTCAAGGGGGCCGAATACTTTCACAAGGCACTGTATTTATGGACATTGGTAATTTGTTCTATGTGTTTTTTTATAGCATTTCCCGTGTTTGAATTGATTGAGTTGATTCTTTTATCTGTGTTGGCGAATCCTTGTAAAGTCCTCCAAGATGACTACTGTTCTGATTTAGGGCCATACAAAATTAGTTGAATTTAATTAAATGGGGTGCAGAGTGTCTCTTCTCTGGTTGAGGGGGCATTCGGTCACTTTTTCTCAGAGATGGTACCGCGGCGATGGCAGTGTAATCTCTATAAATCTCCAGTTCCTTACCTTGTGCCACTTAAAAAGAAAAGTTATAATTCTAATCCAGCCCTGTTCTTGCACTTTTAATTATTAACATAAAAATGGGTTGTTGGAGCAGTTGGATGCATTCATATATGAATATGTCCACACTCATTACAAATGAATCAAATGTGCGTGAATCTCTCTTACACATTTATAACATAATCTGTATTAAAGCCATGGATGCCTTTTTTTGCAGGAAGGGTGATTACTACAGGTACCTGGCGGAGTTTGCCACGGGCAGTGAGAGGAAGGAGGCAGCGGAGAACAGCCTGGTGGCGTATAAAGCCGCCACTGACTTGGCCACGCAGGAGCTGCCCCCCACACACCCCATCCGCCTCGGCCTCGCACTCAACTTCAGCGTCTTCTACTACGAGATCCTCAACTCGCCCGACCGTGCCTGCAGGTACGACTCAGCGGCCACATCTCGTCAAAGCTATCATTACTATATATTTCTATTTTTCTTGCTATTTTTAAACAATTTCTCAACTGTTCAAATGTTCAAATGGTCACCTTGGTCACCTCGAACATGTTTTAATCTTACATTAGTTTGAGATTGCTTCAATTTATGGATTTTTGATGGACTGGGATTAAGGAGTCTTCCATCTAAAAACATCTGTTACACATGAAAAACAAATATTTTCATTCTATAGTATTTTATTCTATGTATGATATCTTAGTTTACTAGTTATCCCTTCATTAGACTTTAGGTTATACGACCTGAAGGTCTGAACTTATTTGATGACACAAACCCTCAATCATACACAAGCCCAGAACGTCACCCAGTAAGAATTAATTTCTTGGTTTCGTAGGTGAACTCGAGGTGCCATCCAAAATAAACAAACCAACCCTATGCAGGGCAGCTCAGATCTGAGGCCGACTCCTCCAGTTAAAGAATAAATACAACCCTGCGAGCTACACCCTCAGAAGTGACAATGTAGCCACCAGTCCCACCAGATCAAACAAAGGGCCACAGCCAGACAGGACCAGGAGCCAGGGGCATTTTGTATTCTCCTGAGCACCATATGAAAAACATACAAATCATTTTAAGAATACAAACGTAACACATGGGTGGGCCTCAAAAGAAAACTACTCATGGTCTGAGTTTTTAACCATATTACAACATTGATTTGTCATAAATTATATAATGTCTCATGCAGGGATGTAAATCGGTGACCGGTTAACCGGTGGTTGACCGTCACAGCGTTAACCGGTCAAAGCTGTCGGTTAAAAATAAGAAAAAGCGGAGAGGGGAGGTCTCTTCATAACGCTATTTTAAGCCCTATTTGCACGATGTGACGAGCGGGTCCCTATCTAGCTGTGTGCGCCAGTGCATTAGTAGACTACGGGCGACTTTCATGGCGCACGCTCCACATATGCACGCAGCCACACGCGCGCGCGCACACACACACACACACATACACACACAAACACTTTCCCCCCCTCCATACGTAACATCCACACGCATCATCTCTCCCCTCTGTTACCGCCAAAGTTCCACACTAGTGCAGGTCAGAACTACATTGGAGCTTATATTTACACACACACACACATACATGTATTGTACACACACACACATACACACATACATACACACATGTATTGTACACACACACATACCGGTCTGTCGCGCTCCTCTGTGTCTCGCAGCCCAAAGAATCCTCGCAAATACGCGGCTTCAGTCAAACACATGAAACCTGTTTGTGCTGCTGGTCCTTGTCATTAGATCAGATCCACACACATCACTTTTAAACTTTAGCGGAGACCTGCGAGACGCGGCTCGTCACTCGCTGCCCTGACCATGTGGACGAGCCGTCTTTAGCTTAAAAATGCTTTACCCGCAGCACAGTATGGGAAGATTAAAAAAGCAGTTCTCTGTGCGCAAAGGTGCCGAAGCTGTTGCGGGTTTTGGCGCCGCTGTCTCAGCTCTGATCTAGTAGAACGCATAGATAAACTTATGAAAAGTACGCGGCTCGAAATGGCTGCTATTTCAAAGAACGTGGAATATTTTTAACTACGCGGTTAACCGGTTTCAACCGGTTAATGAGGCTCGGTGGTCGGTCATGAAAATGCATAGTTTTTTACATCCCTAGTCTCATGAAATCACAATCACAGTATGTTTCCTTGTCCCCGCTATGTGCAGGTTGGCCAAAGCGGCTTTCGACGACGCCATCGCAGAACTGGACACACTGAGTGAAGACAGCTACAAGGACTCCACACTCATCATGCAGTTGTTACGCGACAACCTGACACTATGGACTTCAGACATGCAGGGAGAAGGTAAGCCGCTGTGTTTATTTAACTGTATTTAACCAGCTGACGAGGTTTTGCACTAGTTCTATCCATGGAACCACCACCAACTCACCTAAAACAGTTCTATACTTGATCTGAATCTAATTATATAGCAACATGGCAGAATTTCTTGGATTGCACTATTCTTCTTACTAATCTTAGTCACTCGGGTCTTTTAGGAAAAAACACTTCACTAACAAGGATCATAGTGCATATGGAAAATTGGAAATGTACTATTTTTTTTTTTTTTTTTTTTTGATAATATGCTGTTCTGCCATTCACGAGAACTAAACTAACTGGATTGTGTAGAACTGGGCGGGGAATGCTGTTGAGAAAACTCCCTTTTTAAACTTTCACTCAATTCTAATGCAAAAAAGGTCCTAACCTGGAGATACCTTGAACAAATGGAGTCATGAATAACCTCATTTACATACAACTGCAGACTACAGAAACATTTGGCTTTTCAAAGTACCACCAGGGATAAACTGGGATGATTTGAAATATGTGCGTGTCTGTTTTACTTTGGTCCAAAATGTTGCTTTGATTTTATTCTGACTATATACACAATGACCAAGCAACAATTTCCACCATGAAATCGGTGCTAGGCCTTGGACTACAGGGTTTGCTGATTCATTGTCTCTCTCTCTCCTCTCCTCTCTTCTGCTCTCCTTTCTCTCATTCTCACAGGAGTCTAACCCTTAACTCATTCCTGTTCATTTCTGTCCTTTCTGCTCCAGAGTCCTAAAGGATCACTGCTGACTGTATATTCCCCATGTAACTGTACTTTGTAAGTTACTGCAGTGTGCCGTGTCCCCTCTGCCTCTGTCACTGCGTTTACATGCACGTCAACCTACTCACATGTGTTGTAGCCCAGTCAGATGGAAATCTAATATAGTATAATTTAATCTAATCAAATGTAGGCGCGATAATGTGGGATTCTGCATCAGTCCCATTCTTGACGCGGTTTTCATCCCGTCTGTGAATTCCGTAGTGCTGCAACCTTGGGCTCGGAAAGCGCATATTGAAATGAAATTGAGTTGAATGCATTAAAATGATCTCAATCTGTCTCTATCATTATCTTGTTATGCAAGAATAGTACCAGTTTCATATATCTGATCTTGTACGGACCCAGTGGCTGTGAGTGCTCAGCGTGGCACCTTTACTTTCCATCACATTGGTCTCTCGCCTGCTGTAGGGTCAATTGTTTGGAAGGTTTTCTCTGCGAAACGGACCCTTACACTAAACCTTTAAAACAATTGATCCTGGTGCACTGTAGACAAAAACATTAAGGCACTGCACTGACCACTCCTACAGCCACCGAGTGAACGGCATAAAAAGTTTAACTACATTACTGTGCACCAATAATGCAAACTTTATTTCAACACTTTGTAACCAACGAAATATCATACTTGTGATAAAGCTAAGTTAATGGGATCAGGGATTTTTGAAAGGAGGCAAGATTCAACATGATTTTGCTCTAAACTGGCCATCATTATATTTTGACTATTTTGTTGGAATGAATGTAATTGAAACCTGGATCTTGACACCCGTAGTTCAAAGGATAAAACATGTATTGGCTTGTAGTGTTGTTTGTTATGCTAAAAACGAGGCTTTTAAGCAGAAAGCGATTCTAGCTTCACAGTTTATTCACGCTGTTGAGATCAAATAAGTTCAAAAATACAAATGCTTGGTGTAAAATGTATGATTGCCATGTAAGTAACTAGATGGCTCTTAACACATTTTACCATCCTGGGACCCGTCTTTCGCCTCTTTGACCTGCGGTAGACTGGTTTGGGTTGTAAAAGCTACCCGTTAGCTTGGCACAGTCTGACGTTTGTGTGCATGTAAACGTAGTGTGTTATCACTCTCTGCATCTTCTCTAAATCACTAAACTCTACTGTGGCCTTATATTGAATGGTGACGCACACTTGCCTGCCTCTTGAAGTAACTTTTGGAAATGTTGTCACTGGTTGCCATGGACCCCTTCACTAAGAGCGCTCAGTTTTGTTTGCCTTGAATGCACATGTTATAATAATTCACTATGTAAAGTTTGCTTATAGTGGTTCAGTTGAATGACCGGTTAATGATTACTCCATCATTGTCCTTTTTTTAGATTAAAGCATTTCTGTGACTAACTTTACAAATCAAAAGTAGCTCAATCAGCACCAGAGATTTGTCAGAAACTTCCCTAACTTTCCATTTCACATAAATGCTCAGGGACTACAGGTGTAAATTAGCACTGCTGCTACAACCTGGTACAAAGCATCTCTCCTTTTGGCTAATGTTTACTGTACACTGTCCCTGTAAAAATAAAAACCATACCATACCAAACCATACCATACCAAGCCAAGGTCTAGTTTGCTACAAGAACATAAGGATATCAATTTAGAGAGTGTAAGGGGAGCTTGGCAGGAGCCCAAGTCACTGCATAGAGATGACATTGCTGCCCATATTTGTGGAGCTCCTCATTCATGCTCCATAGGACAGCTTGAGTATTTATTTTATACATTCACATATATCATCTCTGATATGACCTGACCTGTGGACTGCCTGAATCAAATATGACAATTTTGTCCGTTTAAATAAGTTTTACCATACAGTGCAAAAAATATGCCCCTAAAGCTGTGAAAAGCTTTAAGAACTCAAGCTGAAGAGAAATTGCTTTATTCTAAAATTGCGTTAGTAAAGTGAGTTAATCCAAAGGTATGCTGTGGACCCTGGCACTAGTTATAAATATTCCGCCCAACTGATCAGACTTCCAGACTTGCCGCTCCACTTCCGCCAGCTCAACCAGGGGAATCCTGAGGCGTTCCCTGGGCCAGCTGAGGCACATGGTCCCTGTGTTGTGGGTCGTCCTCCTGGTGGCACATGCGCAGAACAGGGATATGAAACATTGTGTTATAGTTTTATCATCACTTAAGCACCATAGGTCTATATAGTAATTATGTGATAGGCCTCGCTGTAAACTTTCTTGTATTTGGACCCCTTTTTTTTACTGAATTTGTGATTTCAGTTTCTACTCCTTTTTAATAATGTATGTGCCCGTGTTACCATAGAAACCGCTTCTCTGCCCGGTAACAGTAAAGCCATTGTTCACAGTGGCGTCTGTCGTCACACAACAAAAACCAATCACCCTGAGCTCTGCAAACCTGCTCCTGTCGGGGGTCAAATGTTAAGCAGCAGCAAAAATAAAATGGAAAAAGTGCCTCACAGGGAGTGCTAAGTTTGCATTTGTCAACAACAGATTAGCTTTAGCCCGGAGCACACAAACTCAGACCTGTGTGGAGTGTACGTGTGTGAGTCCAATGTGCTGCTTTTCAATCACACATTTTTATCATGCCTTAGTCAAGGTCTAATTCACCTCCTTCGGGATTGTTTGGTTTATGATCACATTGACCTAAACGCGAAGAATCAAACCTGTTCAGTCTTATCTGCATGTTCTGTTACACATGTGTCACTGTTTTCACTTTGATTTTAATGCAATCACTTAGTCCTAAAGAATGTATTTGAGATTAGGGGCCTGTCTGTTTGTATGAGAAATGACACTTAATAGACATTGTCTGTGGTTTAAAAGAAACTAAAAACACAATCAATTTTTTGTTTTTCTTGAGCAATACAGACCTGGGGTTGTTTTTAGATCCATCCACGGTAATCGGGACCTTCTCGCACACAACTTCTTGGTACACATATTAGCATCTTGGTTTTTGTTACTTAGCCGAGGTAGGTCGTAACCCCGCCCCCTCTGTTGAAAAGCTCCTTTATTAGTATGTCATTGTACCATTATGACATCACTCTCGGAGCAAAACAAAAGTAGTTCCCGTAAATTAGTTTTGGCTCATATCTCAGATTTAAACTTCATTCTTTATAATCACATGACAAAATTCAACTCCTCCCTCTGGTAGTAGTAACATAGGGAGTGAATCTTCATACCTGTTTCAACATATAAATTGTCCTTAATTACTTTTATGAATTCCATATTTTTTTGGATGATAAATAATTATCTTTTTTAAATTGCCCAAAAATATGCATCATATTTACCACTTATTAAATAGACCGAACTCTCAATAGTTTTATAAGGATTTTGAAATGTATAGTTTTAATATCATAAAGTATTGTTGTAAAAGTCTTGATGACGTCCTATGTAACCTGCTAAGCTGAATGGATTAGTTATTTAGTTTTGTGACTCAGATTTGACCCAGATAAAGCTTTTTCATGTAATTACTGAAAGGGAGTCATAAATTCTCTTCTCGGCACAAGTGTGGATCGTCAAAACTAGAAATTATACAGTGGACAATATACTCATTGAAGTGTCGAGTTAGAATACATGGCTAATTATTGCTTTCTTCAATGTTTAATAGAGATTATACTGTGTTTTGTAATTCTGTCAATAGAGATAGTTTATCGAGACCAAACTAAAGCTTGGTTGACTAAAGACAGGCCTGGACGACTAAAAAGTGATCCGAGCAAGCTAATGATACTATATTTCAACTCTATGCAAAACACTAAAACTCTAGAGCAGGGGTTCCCAAAGTTTTTAGCCCGCGACCCCCATCATAAATGCGCTGCTCCCCCGCGACCCCCCACCTCAACAGTCCTTTCCGTCAATGAGCATGTATTTCCTTGATACGGAGTAACGCAGAGACTCGCGCCACTACTGAGCTGCACTGTCCAGCCCAAAAAAGGAGGCTTGCGTATTTTTACTCATGTAGTGACACAGTGATGGGCTTGGTGGGCTCCCTCCTCAGCAGAAGTGGAGCGCATTTCTTGCAGCTCGCCCTCTCTGTTCTCATACCGCGGTAAAGTGGCCCGGCTTTTCGGAGTCAGCGGTAAAGAGGTCCGCACATAAAAAGCAGGCGGCCGCTTTCTGCTGTTACTTCATGCGGTTCCTCCCCCGCGGCTTCTTTTTCCAAAGTTACTGTAAGTAACAGCATAAAGCAGCCACCCGCTTTAAATGTGCGGACCTCTTTACCACTGACTCCGAAAAGCCGGGCCTCTTTACCACCCTCTTCTACCGCTGCCTTCTCTCCCTCCGCTGCCCTCTCTCCCTCCGCTGCCCTCTCTCCCTCTCTTCGCACAGTCAGCCTGACCTCACATGTGACTTTTCTCTCCCTCCGGGTTTTTCTGTTGTGGATATTAACCACGTTTCATTTTAAAGCAGGTATTATTTGTTTGAAGCCTCCAAACACCTTTTAGTTTTAGCAAACAACAGCTGGACACGCTTTGTCGCTGCGTGACGTAAGCTGCGTAACTTGATTTTGATTGACGCTGTCAATGACTGGACAAAATTACAAACGTAATTTAAATATTTATATTCTCCTAACACAATTTAACAAGTAGTCCTTTTGAATCAAATCAAATGCTAAATCAATATTTAAGGGCTATTAATTAGCTAAATGTTTTTTTGTTTTTGTTTTTTTTTTTCTTTTGGAAATCATCTTGCGACCCCCCCCCCCAGGGGTTCCCGCGACCCCCCGGGGGGTCGGGACCCCCACTTTGGGAACCACTGCTCTAGAGAACCAATGTAGCCATTAGTACACATGATTAATGTTAATTATTAGTAACACTACTAATGCAACTTGAACGTCATAATCGACTAAATCATTAATGCAATCAACAACAGCTCAGAATTTAATGTCAATCTCAAACTCCTTTAATCTTAAATATTCACTTGTATGCCCAATAGCTTCTGGGGTTCTTTCTACATGATGAAGTCGCACTACAAAAGTCCATAGAAGTATGAAATGGAATACTGTTTTCTGTATTCATTTAATACTGCTTATTTTTTCTATTGTTTGCTTTGATACCATAGGCGGCTTATTCCATGTAGTTTAGGATCAAAATAAAACTGTCCTCCTCATACATCTTCGACTTTGGAAAAAGAGCTAGATCTCGAGAGCTTTCGGCGCCAACTTTTATTTTCAGAAATTCGATGTGGGACAAAAACACGGAGCCCTGAAACCCGATATATGGAGGACTCCTGAAAACAAGAACAGGATTAAGACAAAATATCGAAGGCATTTGCAGCGGAACCTGTCCGGGGGGAGGGGGGTGGCGGCTCTAGGGTTAGCTTGTCTCGCTCCTGTCCACACCAGGCTAACGTAGCTCAACGTTTTTCCTTTCTTTTCCAGCTGAAGAACAAAAACCAGAGCTACTGCAAGACGTGGAGGATGAAGCAGCCCAGTGATGTCCGCCCTTCACCGCCCACACTCCTCTTCCCTCTGAGGAAAACTATACACCACCTCCCCTCTATCTTTCTTCTATTCTTTTTTTATTTTTATATCTCAGCCCTTACATGGTTCAGTAAAAACACCACGTAAATTGACATCCGAAATGCAATGTAAGCAAGGCAAAGATAATGAGAGTCCAATTTGGGTGCATCCTGGACTGGTACAAGCGGTCCTCGTTTATTTTATTTTGTTTTGTATTTTTTTTTTTTTTTCCCTCTCTCTCTCTCTTCCTCTTTTTCTCCCCATTTTTTTTTCTTTAAATATTGTTATCTGTTGTTGGATGTATTGAGAATTTATTTCTTAATGTAATTACAGAAATTAACTTTTATTACTGATAATGTTGATAGATGGGTATCAGAGCGGTTTAGCCTCTGTTTTTAGTGCAAAATCATTTACGGGCAGTTTGACGCATTACAACTTGTTTTAACATAGGTTTTTGTTTTGTGTTTTTTTTGGCAAAAATTTGGGATATCCACGTGGGGCAAAGGCGCGCTTTACTCTTCCACTATAGTGAACCTGTTGTTTTGTAGTTGTCTTTGGACTGTAACTGTGCTGAAATACTGTAACATTACATTTATTTAGGAGGTGGACTTTTTACTTTGAGAGGACACATTTTGGGAGACTCAACCTTGCACCAATCGTCATATTTGTCAGTGTTTGCTTGGGTTTTAGGTTGACATCTATTTGCAGGGCTTGTATGTAACATGTTTTAACATCATTACCTCTTATTCTTTTTTTCTTTTTTTTTTTAAGATGACCGGTCTCGCAGTAGCAACACAATAAAGAACGCAGTTTGTGGGTTTGGTGTGAAATTTCAAACTACTGACAAGTACAGTACCCCCCTGGGACAAGCTGCTTGGAAACTCTATGGAGAAAAGACATTTGAATGCACTAAAAGCAGGGTTTGTTGAATCATGGAAAATCCCATCTTTCCACCTTGACATTTAGGGAATTTTATTGATTTTGGAAAATGTCTTGGGTCCCATATAATCTATCAACTTAAAGATGTAATGCAGACCAATCCCTTCATACTATCTTTCACTATTTAAAGTAGTGGCTGAAGGATTTTCTCTCGAATTGGCTCGTGAATGCAAATATTTGGAAAGATTTGCGAAAACTTGAACGCTTATGGAAAACCTAAAGTTGAACTGCGACAAAAATGTGTTCAATATTTGGTACTATTTAGACAAGTGCATAATGGATAAAAATGGAGGCTTTAGATGTTTGTAATAACATCTTTCCAGAGTTCTGTTGCAACAAAGTAAGAAGTTGGTGAACCGATTTCTTCCAGAACGTTCAGACACTTTGAACAGTGAGTAGCTCTATGTGCCTCGAACTCTAGGGTCGCACCACAGGCTCTTATACAAAATTGCAAACATGGAAAGCTGGGGTAAATAAATTCGGATTATTTTGGTAGCCTTTTGAAGTGTGAATGTCATCTGGTGTTGCATACAAAAAGCCCTGTTCAAAAGATGCTATTCTTTTTTAGCTGCTTGTGCCCTGCGGTTTTGCTCTTCTCTGTTCGGGAGGGGTTTTCTCTTGTTATTTTGCTTCATTATGTGTAACTCGGAGCTGATTTGTACTACTGGATATCTGAAGCCACAGACAGGGAATCTATTATTCTTACTGAAACAGCATGGAATTAACATTAAACGATCTAAATTAAACATTACCCCTGGCCTTCTTGTCTTCTCTTATCACTACAAGACATCAATAGGTTATAAATGCTTCTAACACATCATACATTTTAAAAAGATATGACTGGACTAAGCTCTATACTTAAATCATGTCTGTTTGCTTATATATGTATTATGGTTATGTTTAATTGATTTGAGCTACACAGTCATAACTTGCTTAATACTTTGTCAGCACATATCAACTCTGGTCTAATTATTTTCTCATGAAAGTGTCAAAGTGGTGACAATATTCAAAAGACGTGTGCGTGATGTTGACCAGTAGAAAGAACATTCACATAACATAAGGCGGGTTTGTGAATCATCTGAGAAAACAATTGGAGAATTTTTATTTTTCAACATTGCTTCCCTTAAATTCTTCTTTCATATAGATATGTATTGGTATCTACCCTCTAAATGGAAATGAGTTAGATTCTTTCAAATACACAAACTAGCTTCCCAAATATTCCATAAAGTATCTTGATTTCTTGAATTATCACTACATATTGCTTCTCTGCTGCATAATAATAATGCAAATCCCATATTCTTTGCCAAGTAACTACTAAATCAATTTACAAATCCGTGCTAAAATCCCGCCAGCCTCCAACGGCTTCCTTCAAACTTTGCCCTCTTACACTTCACATAAATCAAGGGTGTCAAACCTCTCTGAGGTGCACTGTGGCTGTAGGTTTTTATTCCAACCAAGCAGGAGCAGACTCCACCCATTTTCTCAAGTAAGTCTAGTCTTAACCTGAAGAATGGAGGTAATGGGGATGTACTATTGTGCTCCTGCTTGGTTGTAATTAATTATAATCTGCAGCCACATCAGCCCCCATTGAATTTTAAGTTTGCAGCAGCACAGAAGCAAATGTATAAATGAAAAATGGGCTGGGAAAAGTAATTTTAAATCATATTCTTACTCCCTTTCATCTTAACACATTAGTTGTTAGTTTAATAACAGCTGCATTGCTCTTGCCTTTTCCTGAAAAAGTAAATGAGTACTAGTAAACCATTACAAACTAAGATAGCAGACATAGTACAGTGTGTATTGTGCCCCGGTCGTTTACTAGCGGTGATGAGGCTGGAAGTGGCCTGATCTGCTGCTGTTTGACTGAGCTCGCTGTGCTCTACATTCAGCAGATGTTTCAGATGAAATGAACTCGCTCTCGGCTTTATCATAAATTCATATCTGCTGCTATTTTTAGAACTGTGACTGTGGAGCGGCACACGCCCACAGCCGCTTCAGTTTAGACAACATCTGGACTTATTTGATTGTTGACTGCTTCATAAGTTAAACTCCAGGTCCTATCACAAACGTAAAGGTTTCCATTTTCAACATTGTCCAAAAAACTGCATTTGACAGTGCAGTTCTAATCAAAATGTAAATTGAAACTGCAAAGACTACATGTATAATGTCCAATCCAACCCAATCCACTTTATTTATATCATAAATTTTATTAAAGAAGTTTCCAAAGTGCTGCACAGAGATAAAATCAACACATTTAAGTAAAACATGCACAAAGTAAAAACAATAAAATACCAGTGAACAATACAAATGTAATAAAAAAGTACAGTATAAAATATCAGATTTAATAAATAAAAGTAATGTCTCCCCAAGCGCTTCACCGAAGTCACTGGCTATGTACGTGGTGGTACTAAACTATGACAGGAGCCACATCTGCCCTAGGGCAGAAGATGGAAACGAGGCACATGCGGCGTGTGCCATCGGCCCTTCCAAAAAGAAAGGCCCAAGTCGGTGCGATAATGAATGAATGAGAGAAGATTTATCTTGATTTTAAAATGTTTTGACTGTCAGATTTAGATATCATATCACAATAGGTTTGTTGCTTGATCCATCGGCAAATCTACTTTAAAACTTATTTTAAACGTTTATATTCAATCTTTTTGATATTTTTTTACTGAACAATTACCAATTGGAAAAGCGGCCTTTTCTGATCCAAAGTTTCCCAGACCAAACCCACGCTGTTAATGAGTAATAGTAAAAATAACTGCTGATAATTTTAGACTGAGAAAGAAGTCAAACCTGTTACACATGTGTTTGTTTCCCCAGTTACAAAAAAATACAACTATTGTGAGGCTTGGTCCTTCTTTCAACGCCTCTGGTTTCAAGTTTCTACAACTAACTGCTGTGTGTGTGTGTGACTTTGAGCTGCTTCTGCTCAAGTCATTCTTAAGGAAACGCTTCAACATAGTGTAGAGTTGGGCATGAGCTGAAATACAGTTATTTATTGACAGCATTATATCACTCTCTTATCACACAAGACTAGGCCACCACCAGAGGCCAGACGGAAGGACTGTCGGGAGAATGTCTACTGATATATCAGGCTAATCACAACCACCCTAACTCATAACCTTTAAAGTTAATCAGTGACTCAGTTTCTATGTCTCATTTGATCATAATCTTCCACTTTATGATACCATTGTAATATATTCTAACTTATACATTTGGCGCATATTTTTCTTGCTCTTATAATAGCAATAAGATAAGATAAGAATTCCTTTATTCGTCCCTTTCCCCACTGATTGGTTAAATTCATCGCACGTCCATTCACTTTATACACGGTGGTGATAAACCACTACAGTAGCCACATCTGCCCTGGAGTGGACTGATGGAAGCAAGGCAAACAGTATGTGCCATCGGCCCCTTCAACCACCACCAACCATTCATGCACACACCAGAAACAACCACAATTTGCCACTATAAAGCCTCAGCTGCCCCTATACCTGGTGTTCTTAGAGGTCTCCCATCACTGTACTAACCAGGCCCTTCCCTGCTTAGCCTCAGAGGTCTGACGGCATCAGACGTTCACGTGCAGGTATGGAAAAATTTCTTCAAAAACATACAATGGTAAAGGAGCTATTTGTTCTAATCTTACACTGATTTATTCTGTTTGGTTCTGCCAGGCCCCGGTTTTCTCCATCGGCCGAAAGATGCGCCATAAAAACAGTCCGGGAGTTCTAACTGCAGACGCTGCACCCTCGTCACCACAACAGTCTGATCTAGCTCTGAATGCAGACGCTGTTCCCAATTCACTAACGTCGGTAATTCTCACGCTCCATCCAACCGCACCAACCGAACAACAACATCATTCGTTCTGACTTGCATTTTTTACATATCAAAACTAGTATTTCTTTCAAAAATTCAGTGACCAAAAAAATCTAAACCGTCTAAATAAGCCCTGAACCAACCTGGTAATGTGCAAAAAGTTTGTTATTTTTTTCCAAATTGCTTGTGACTCCATCTAGTGGTGACACATTGGAAT